ACGTTTCGCGAACCCACAAGTGACTTTACTCACCATTTCCATGGCGTCATGCAATTGCAACCAATGCTCATCTATACTTTTCGGTGGAATGGTAGCTAGCCTAGAAGCTAGCTCGATTCGATACTTACCAGCAACAGAAGTTGCAACCAGCTTGCTAACATCAATCCTTTGGTGGCGGTCACTTCGTTGTCCACTGAAAAGTAAGGTAAGATTGGTGCAGACCAGAGCATGATCAGATTCCAGATAGGTACTCCAAAAGGAGCGGCAGTTTTGTACATAACCACGCCAGCGGTGGCTGATCGCGATGTGATCAATCTGTATCCAGGCTTGAAATGTAGAAGGGGGACGCCAGGTGGCACATCGGCGATGACTGTGCCGAAAGTTAGTGCTAGCCAGAAACAGGTTGTGGTCTGTGCATAGTTGCAGTAGATGTTCCCCGTTATCTGTCCTGCGACCAACGAGTCCCCATCGGCCACCTAAACGACTCTCTTCTGTGCCTAGACGCCCGACCTGAGCATTCAAGTCTCCGGCTAGTACTACAATATCTGTCGAACGCACTTTCTGGAGAAGAACAGTTAACTGGTGGTAGAACTCATCCTTGATTACATCCGGGCTGCAATCTGTCGGGGCATAGGCGGAGATGAAGAAAAGACATCGTTTCTCACGCCGATTTCTCCTCACTTTGATGGAACTTTCTAATCTAGCAGTACATAACCGACTGTTAATGGGGATCCGATCGATTAGTGCTGCCTCAGCTCTAGCGCTTAGTGCGACACCAATGCCAGATGAAGATGCCACAGGGTCCCCGGGTAAACACACGTAAAACAAGCTTTTTGAGGCGACAAGGACATAGCCAGCACTATCTGTTTTCCGACCTGCATTAGTGTGCGAACGTTAAAGGAGGCCAGTTTAAACGGTGCACGTGGTTTCAGAAAAACTCCTTCAGTATTCGTATTTGGTGGTAGCATTCAATTTTCAACCAGTCAGTGACTCGAGAACGTTTAGATAGAATCGAGTTTCCACCACAGGCGAGCTGCTATATAAGTCAAGAAATAAGGACACACAAAGTGGGAATAAAAGAAAGTGAATAAGTGGCGCAGCAAATAATAATACCAGGGCATTTGGGAGAAGACAATACATACATTCGTGGTCTCATCATAAAGAGTCCATGTTACCTACACTACGTTTTGTGTAGATCTTCCAACAAAAAATTAATAAATCCATGAATCACAGAGTACAAGAACCAAGAGTAAGGACGCATATTTCAAAACAGCGAGACCAAATAAAGCAATCAGACTACTCTAAATATGCAAAATCGTGGAGATCTTCTGCTCAGATGAATGATTTGGGTGGAATCTTGTCCTTTAAGCTGAATGGCTTTGTCATGGAGCTTTCATTGTTCTTCTGAACATCATCAGCTTAAACTTCAGGTAGGAATGGTTGTTGTTGACCTTTAACCTATCATTGCCTACCTCTTTATTTTAATTGTATTTTTGATATGATTCTTGATCCTATATTTCTCTATGATTTTTCTGATTGGTTTTGAATACATCGCCTTCGTTTACATCAACATCATCACCACACTCAAACATGCAGGCAATAATAATTGTTAAGTTAGCCTATGTAAACAGTTTTATTGTGTTAACTTATCACATCGCTATCAGCCACCGATGGAGGGGCTCGATAGAAGACTGTCGCTCATTCTGGAGCACATGCTTAGACTCAGATCATGCTCTAGTGCGAGCGCGTATTTGTCTACGTCTTACTGGACGTACGAAACATGCTGCAAGGAAACCCCCTAGGGTCCTACTTAATGATAGTCAAGCTAAGAGTATACTTCAGGAACGACTAGAAAAACAGTTAGGCAGCCATGTAAGTGACGCCCACCCCGAGGCAGCGTGGAATGACATCCGAAAAGCTGTAGAAACAGACTCTGTTGATCGTAAGGTTCTATGGCAATGTTTGTCACTGAAGGGAGTACCAAAGAAGTACGTCAACCTTATAAAGGCTCTCTACTCGAACACAAGTGGTCGTGTGAGAGCTTATGGCGAACTGTCATCAGAATTGATTACCTCAAGTGGTGTTCGTCAGGGCTGTCCACTCTCTCCATTCTTGTTAAACTTTGTCGTTGACGTGCTTTTAGAGATGACACTTTCCTCATCTAAATTTCCAGGAGTTGAACTTCTACCGGGAGATCCACTTGTTGACTTAGAATATGCCGATGACATAGTTCTATTTGGTGAAGACCCTGACAAAATGCAGTCTGCTGACCACTCTAAGCAACAATGCAAGCATGTTCGGCATGCGATTTTCTCCCTCGAAATGCAAAATGTTGCTTCAGGATTGGGTTGCGTCGACACCCGAACTAGTGATAGGGAGTGAAGTAGTTGAGCGTGTCGACCGCTTCACTTATCTCGGAAGTCTCATCAGCCCTTGTGGTTTGGTGTGTGACGAAATCTCAGCACGGATACAAAAGGCTCGACTAGCTTTTGCCAACTTGCGTCGTTTGTGGCGTAGGCGAGATATCCGTCTATCAACCAAAGGACGTGTTTACTGCGCAGCAGTTCGTTCCGTCCTACTTTATGGCAGTGAAACATGGCCGGTAAGAGTAGAGGATATTCGTAGGTTACTAGTATTTGACCATAGATGTCTTCGAAGCATTGCTCGTATATCCTGGGACCACCGAGTAAGTAACTCAGTTGTTAGGAAACGGGTACTAGGTAAGGATGGAAAATCAATTGAGGAAGTAGTGAAACTCAATCATTTGAGATGGCTGGGACATGTGTTGCGCATGCCCGACCACCGACTGCCCCGACGTGCTATGTTTTATGGTGTAGGAGTAGGTTGGAAGAAAGCTAGGGGCGGCCAGACCAAAACATGGCACAAATCCATGAAGTCACTGACAAGTGGACTGAGTCATGTTGGTAGGTGTAGACTACCTGGTTGGGGACCGCGAGACGATAGCAACCGATGGTTAGAGACCTTGAATGACATGGCTCAAAATCGTTTGCAATGGCGCAGGTGCATCCACTCTTTGTGTTCTCTCAAACTCTAATCTTCTGAATTCTTCATGTCCTTTATTTTCTTTCCCAATTTATTCCACTGGACTATACTCCTTTAATAACATCAAACCTTAATGTCCCCTATCTCTACTTATACTTTCAGTACCTCTACCACTATGGGATTTGAATCGATAACTGAATCTCTGTGCTAATGTGGTATGGCAACTCGAACTGATGTACGTACGTACGAAGTTCCACGTTGTTACTGACTGTTAACTTATTCATTATTTTTGAATTTTTAGTGAACACAACTACCAAATCAGTCACGTAAGCCGTAAGCTCCTACTCAGAAGTGACACTCAAGTTGGTGCAACAGAGATATAAGGTAAACTTTATGAGACGGTCTATCATTTTACTGATGTCCGAAACTTGACAGATATAGTGAAATACGAACTCACAACGGAAGCAATAGACACAGCTACTTAATTCAGTAGTAAGACAGACTGAGAAAATAAAATCAGAAAACTACGAACATAATCCCAACAGAGTAGATTCTCGCGGGTGGTCAACGTCTTCAACATCAAATGTACAGAAGAATTAAAAAACGAAATCTCATTCCTAGATATTTTACTAAGCAGAATAAACACAGGATCGTTAGGAACGCAAGTATACAGGGACCTGTCACATAGACCAAATAATAAACTTCAACAATCAATCAACGTACAATTAGGGTTGTGTACTTAAGTATTAAAAACAAACAGAAAGTCTCTATATCACTCTTACTAGGCAAAAACTGAAATCCCTATTGTCTTCAGTGACAATCTCCAACTTTTAGTTAACAGGTGCCTGGCGAACCGATCGACCAATGAGAAACCAACCCCAGAAATCAGAGAACGGACAGACCTGCTATATGAAAAGCATCTCAGATATCTTGGAGCCCTAGGAAGTCAATGTCACCAAACCAATGTAACCGCTTCAAACCGAAAGATAAGTTATTATTAAAGTAAATGCAATACGGTAGAAGACTTCACTCCTAATTGCTTACTATTATATATGCCTACGCTGAGGTACTACCCGGGTGCCCACAACGAAAATGATCTGCTCAAGGGATCAATTTCTGAGCCTTTGATACATAGATCTAACGGACGAAGCAATAAAACGATGTCAGATCCAGTCCCATAGCAGCAAGCGACTAAAGTTCATACGCCTTCCGTTTCCAAGGGGACCTGGAGCTCATGCATATCACTAGTCTAAAACTAGCCCTTCCCGACTCTCGTAGATGGGTCTATCGTATCTACCAAGCCGGTTTAAGCACCGAACGTCAACTCTTTTTACTCTCACTTTCGTAAAACCATCCTCCCAACATGTGACGGCAGTGAGTATGACTTTCCCGGTAGAGGTCGTAAAAGCATGGACGTATGGAAGCATTTCAAGGAAAATGAACACTCAATAACCGGAAACACCAGAACATGAGGGGCTGGCGCCTGTAGGTCGACAGCCAAAGATACGTCAGCTAAAACAAACAAATGCAGCACCATTTACAAAGTAAATTGTACCAACCGAGAAAAAACTACTAGACTGAACCCCTTCTTCAGTTACTTATATGCGGACACAAATTAGGAGTGAAACTATGTGTATTCATATTAACGCACGTATACAATTATGGACAACAATCTGGACGGAAAACGCTGAAATCCAGGATCAAGAAAATTTTAAGTATTTCTAGAACTATGACATCCGAACCGACCGGTAGTCAAACATATAGACAAACATTCGGTCCGCTAAACCATACGAATAAGGTTGGTCAATCAAATGGTCAGAGACCAACCGAACAAGGCAGTCAAGAGTAATGCAAAAACGAATGTAGCCTTCTTCTTCGTCTTCTCGTTAAATCAATCAGAAAATGTTAGAAAAATAACCAAAACGAAACTGAATCGATCCGTGCGTTGGCGAAAGATTTAAGTTATTTACTTATTATGCTTTGAAATAAAATATATGTCCACAGTATTACTAGCATACGCTTTTCCATTTATTTACCAAATACATTTCATACTCTTTACATAACATACATATTATGGATACAAAGAAACGAAATACAACGTGAGAAGAAATATACAAATGAAGAAGAGTATTATAAAGAGCTAGTATTTTGATGCACTTGAGCGCCATAGCATATATGGTATCAGTAAGCACGGTGTAACAAACAAAGCGAAACCAATCCACTCAATCTGTTGAAAGAAGGAAAAGAAAAGCAACACAAATACTGCTGTACATTTATGAAACCACTTTTTCTAATAAATAATATTAGAGAATTCCCGGTAAGCGATGCCAAATTTTGAGACGAATAACTACTCGTGTAAAAGTAAAGTGTTATCGGAAAGTGAAGCATTTCATTATTAAACATGATTGCGAGTTCTCATACCGATAATCAGTAGATAAGCCAGTCATAAATAACGTAGGACGTGGTATGAATCTATTTCGATCAAAGCTGCCACATCTCATTAGCGCAGCGAGAGGAACTTGACAAGATTAGAAGTGAGAAAATAATATCAAACAAAACAGAAAGTGAACTACAAGAAATATAATTCAGGTAGAACGCGTGGAATTTAAGAATGGATCCATTTGGTTACATACCTAAACTTATCAATACGAACACACCCTTAATAAATTAGAACTTTCGTCTAAATTTAACGAGTAGTTTCACAATATTTGGGCGCCGAGTTATTGTGAGACATTAAAGCGGAAGAATGTAAAATCTCAGCGAAAGAATTCGAAGTAAATCCGACGTTTCGTCTGGCAATCTGGTCCAAGCTTTTTCAATGGAAATATAATCAAGCAAACAATATATCCGATAATTTTGTTGTTTAAATTGTTTTGTTGGAACGCCGTGGATTCGTTTTATTAACGAAGTAGAATGGCACATAGTGAGAAAATGTTAGATTAAGAATAAACCTGAACTGATAAAATGAACTCATTTTATTCTGTAAACATCGTTTCAACTGATATTTAAGTTTCTTAATGAGATAAAATGACGATAGAACCTTGAGATTACTTGCTTTCGAAAACGAATGAATTCAGAATTCACTTTATATTAAATGGAACGAGTACACTAAACCTAACCATCAACAGTAAATCTTAATTCTAGTTCCTCACCATAGTTTATAATCCTCATTTGGTCCTAGCTAGTAGGCGGACATTTTCAAGGTCATTTAACGTCACTCAAAGGTCGTCCATAAATTATAGTTTCACCATTTCTACACTTTTTAGTAATTTATTCTCTGCATAATATATTTTAGATGTAGTATGGTTTATGTTCATTGATGACTGTAATAATGTACTGTGGACATAAGTTTTACAGCTTTAAAAATGATAATATTTGATTGCTTTATCTACAGAATAATCTTAAATGAAATTGTTAGCGGAATATAGATTGGATTAAAGCACGTAACGTGTAGGATCATGTTGGGACACATTGATTGGCTGTTTCCTAACCAATCAGCGCTAGTGGATATTTGGAGAAGACTCTGAGGTCTTCTCTTGTAAAAACTATAAATATACTAATGTTTTTCCTATTGTGCTTCTTACTTCTATCTACCCTTGTTATTTGAAATAGTTTCATTCCTATTCAACCGTCTTCTGATTTAGGGATTTATCGACTGTCTAAGAGTACCGAACAATGGGAATAACTGGGTCGCAATAAGAAAAATTATAACAAATTAAACGAAGACAAAAAAACCATAACATATATTATACAACGACCAGTGAAAATTTTACTAACTGTATGAGAAGTGAAACGCTTGTTATACTCCTTCAGTCTGTGAATTGTAAGTAGACCAGGTGCAGAAGAATACAAAAACTATAGAAAAAATATTAACATGTTTTTATTTAGCATGTATAAACATTTTATTTCATAAAAGTGGTAATTAGTCACAAGAAAAGTGTAACTATTAGAACAATTTCCCTTTACATTCGATGAAAACTTAAGAAGTATGAAGGGTATGGGATCTGGTCCTGTTTACTAAAGTGTTCTCATATCTCGTGACTCAACGCGCAAGCGCTAAACAGACTACAGGTATATTCTACGTTGGTTTACTGTTAGCTAACTTTGCAACAGCACCTTGTGATCTGAGCGAGACGTTTACTTACGGTAGGAGATAAACCTAGTCATTCTGTTTTCTTCAGTAGATTGATATATTTCATGCTATACTTGTTCACCAAGCGCATTAAGGTTTTTAAAGACATTCTAGAGTATACTATTGCACATATTTCCATAACTCAGACACCATGTGACTATTTAATTACTTTTACCTATCTAATAAATCCATTCTTTTCATAGGAAGAAGTTCAGACATTCAGCACATCCCCCAAATGCCCTGGTACGATCGAGAGTGGGGAGAGTCACCTCTCCCTCTCGAAATGCTCACATGGCCACGCGTATAGTCTCTGCCAGGGAAGTCCTACTCACTGCCTTCACGTGGCGGGGTGTTGTTTACGAAAATGAGAAGACAAAAAGCGAATGTCCGGCGCTTTAACCGGATCCAAAACCAATGGTGCACATGGGCTCCAGTATCCTGAAGGAACAAATGGCGTATGAACCAATCGTTGGTCACCGGCTACCATGGCATTGCATCTCCTTACGATGCTCCCCTGCCTTGTGGGTCAGACGTTCAGGTCGAAGGCTCATAGTGTGGCCACCTAAGAAAACCACCTGCTTCGGTTTGGGCACCCGGGCAGTATCACAGCCCTCAAACAAATCAATTGAGATTCGTGTGGTGCATATTTATTTGGTGCCTCCTTGTACCAATATCTATGTGTTAAAATAATAAAATACCTCTTACATTATTTCTTATTATTTAAACACATATTTATTATTTATTATTATTATTTATTTGAACACATAAATATTGGTACAGGGGGGCACCAAATATATATGCGCCACACAAAACAATGATAATTTGAAGAGAAGGAGAAAAAAATATATGTAAAAAAAGGAATGAACGTGGGGAATAATAAAAAAAAGAGGGAGAGAACAATGATGGGGAAAACGGAAAGGTACAATCAGGAGAAATCTTTCAGTTAAGGAAGATACAAACACTTTTTATGAAGAAAGTAAAAGAAGGTTACAGCACGATCGCCACTGGCTTCTATTCTGAACCATATCTGATAACGTCTCAAGCCACTGTGTCGCACCATCTCTCGGAACCCAACCAGGGAGTCGTGAAGGTCCAACAGAAGATAGCCCTTTCCAGCTTTCTTTCATACCACGACACCATGTCATATACTGACCACCTCTCTGCTTTTTCCAACCAGTCCCAGAGTCGGCAAATAATGCACGACGAGGGATTCTCCGGGACGACATTCGTAGAACATGTCCAAGCCACCGAAGTTGGTGTTTCAAGATGGTGACACCAATTGGATTATCGTCTCTGTGCCCGGACACACGATGCCGAACCTCTGCATTACTGACATGGTGTTGCCACTGGATGCCAGCAATCCTTCGGAGACAACGATGATCAAACACAGAGAGTCGTCTAACATCCTCAACTCGGAGAGGCCAGGTTTCACAAGCATAGAGCAAAACTGCTCTCACCGTCGCGTTGTAGATCCGACCTTTTACAGCCAGACTAACATCACGAAGGCGCCAAAGGTGGCCCAGATTGGCATAAGCAGCTCTGGCTTTCACTATACGTGTATTGATCTCATCACTCACGCCACCACCAGCACTTATGCAGCTACCTAGATACACGAACTTCTCGACCACTTCTATCTGCTCACCATCCACAACGAGTACAGGATTAGAATCCTGCCAGTCTTGTAGCAGTACTTTGCACTTCGAAGGTGCAAAGCACATACCATACCTACAGACATTGATTGCCAACTGATTAAGTGAGGATCGCATGGCTTCAACATTCTCGCACAGTAAGACAATATCATCCACATACTCAAGGTCGAGAAGTCTTTCTCCAGGTAACAGATCCACACCACCATTACTTACATCCATCAGAGCTGTTTCCAGAATGTCATCGATGGCAAAGTTGAAGAGGAATGGTGAGATTGAGCAACCCTGCCTAACCCACTGCTTTAATGGAACAATGGAGAAAGGTGGTTGTATGCCCTCACTCTGCTTGAGGTGTTTGTGTATAGGGCTTTTAGGATGTTAATAAACTTCTCAGGCACACCCTTCTTCAATAGACAATCCCAGAGAACAGTTCTGTCCAACGAATCGAAGGCAGCCCTGATATCAAGAAACACTACGATTGTTGGCCTTTGATAAGTATGACGGTGTTCTAACACTTGGCGGAGGGTGAAGATATGATCAATACATCCTCGACCAGAACGAAACCCAGTCTGCTCCTCGCGAGTCAATCTTTCTCGGGTCCTGAACAGCCTACGAAGTATGACGGAAGCCAATAGCTTGGACGCAATCGGAAGTAGACTTATCCCCCGATAGTTGTTACAGGAACAACGTGAACACATAAACATTAGTAAAAGGAGATATCAAATAGATATACACCAGACAAATCATTCGAAATGTGTGAGAGCTGAGATACTGCCCGGGTTCCGAAACCGAAGCAGGTGGTTTTCTTAGGGAACCACACCTCAAGCTATTGACCTAAAGGTCTAATCCAAAAGGCAGTGGAGCAACCTAAGAAGATGCAGTCCCATCGTAGTTGATGATCAACAATAGATTCATACGCCGTTTGTTCCCTCAGGATCCTAGAGTTATATCCGCCATTGGTTTGGAATCAGGGTCTTCCAACTCCCCTAGGTGGATCCTCCGTGTCCACTAACCCGAGTAAAGCGCCGGACATTGGCTTTTCGTCCTCTCGATTTCGTAAACAACACCCCCGCCGCGAGAAGGCAGTGAATAGGACTTCCCTCATACGTTTATGTCCTTGTAGTTCTACATGTATGTACGTCAGTAAGGTTACAATTTTATCCAATTACTGGTTCTTTGTGACACTATGTATTATCTATTTTCAATCATATTAACGCTTGTAATGAGCAACATTTTGAGTTGGCACGTTCTTCTCCGCTTTGTTTTTCACCTTACCATCTGTTAGAGCAAATGAATGCCGTCGTCCAAATGGGGTTAAAATAGGTCAAACATACGAAATAAAATGAAGAATCTATACTCATTGTTCATTTATCGTTCGTTCGTCTGGTCATTAACACACCTAGACAACCGAGTCTACAACATCAACTGTGCCGCCACAAGACAAACTTGTATTTTAATAATACTAGATATTGGTCTAGATGATTTGTAAGTGTTTGTAAGTATTGAGACTTTGTCAGCATTTTTCGTGTAACCAGTAACATAATTGAATGTTAATATTGAGAACACTTGTTTTTAATGGATTCAAAACTTTTTGCTAAACTCTTTCAGTTTGGTTTTCCTGAAAACTTATGAACCAATGTCGAGTGATTTCAAGGATGTTCATCTGTTAAAAAACTTTTATTAGACATTTCGACAAGAACGACATGCAACTATATGTAGCCCTGAGAAAAAATCATTTTCAAAGAGCCCAAACTTTTCTAAATACCTTACATACATTACGAGATGACGGCACCTACTCTATGCATCAATCAGAAGTGTAAAAAACCAAAACGAATGAGATAATTAAACAGAATAATTATACAACAATGGTATGGAATTTGGAAATATAATACCCAAACTAGCAAAAACTTAAAGCTTACGGAACTTTTCTGCAAATCACTAGATTTGTAAGTAATTGTAGCACTAGAAAAATTATGGACGCCATTTATTTGAGGTTTGAGGATTAAGACATGAGTGACGTTCGAAGAGGGAGGTATAACAGGCCACCGAGCAGAATGGCTCCCATGAATCAGCGTAAATTCTGTTTCGGCAAAGATATCAAATAGCTCAACATCTTTGGCAGCGCGGCTGTGTAGAAGGACAATAGTATGTGTTTATGTATTAGGGGACGACTAGGTATAATTATAATATTAAAAAAAAATTAGTCTGTCCAACATGAAAAGAAAACGAAGTAAAAGCAATGTAGTTTTGACCTGAAGTAGTCAGGAATGTGTCAAAGACCAATATGGACAAAACAATCCCTTAATGCTGATGATACATAACTCCTGAAATAAGATAACTAAAGCAATGGAAACGCGAGAGGATCAGGTAAATGAATTAATAGACTATTAAAACTGGACTAATTACATTTTTGTATTTAATACCAAAAACACAATCTCAAGTCGATAGAATCATTGAACCACGAAAAAAGAGATGGTAGTCATAAAGCGTTTACTGCTACACGCAGCATTTCAGATCTAATGTAGAATTCGCTATATTTTCAAAAAATTTCTCCTGAAAAAACTAACGGTTCATAAGTGTCGAGCATGTGTGGTCTCTGCGGTCACAGATTGGACGCTAAAGTAGACAGCAATTCAGTGGGCTATTATACAGCTCAAAACACGTTACTTATTCCTGATAAGCTACGAACGTGCAACACTATTCCTGACCATTCTAACGTTTAATGTTTTATCAATAAAGGAGCTACTTTGTGGATTGAGTCCAATCTTTACCTAGTCACTCGTTTTCTCAACCCTCAGATTACATTTCTCCTACAGTTGTCTATTTCCCCAATTTGTACTCATACTTACGAAAAGTAGTTTAACTTTTCTTTACAACCAGATCAATAACGAGAAAAATGCATGAATTGAGATGAGTATTTACTCTGTAACAAGACAAATCGATTGTTTCAATAATGTACCACCTCGAAGAGAACGCAAGACCCATAAGGTGACCCCAAGTATTAAACACAACTTTCATATGCTAAATCGTATCTTTTTGCACACTATTTCAAAATTCTCAAAATATTAGCACAACAGATGCATCACAGAGTGAAATTCGAGTGTGTAAAATTACTTGGAAACAATGACTTGCGAGTATCAAGACATTAAAAAACTCACGACTCGTGGAAATTATATATTGTGTATAGAATAGTGATTTCTTTTTCTTGAAAGACAAACTCATTCAAGATTTCTTTGGATACCGCCAGTCGGACATTGTCCATGGAATTTGAAGACACCAGGACAACCAAATAAACAGACAACAGAATAGCGAAACTAAGCTTCATCACGTTGAACAAACTTTGAAATACCCCCCAAAGCCAGGTGCACTACGACGTGGCAAGGTCATCCATGTGTAATACGATTGTATTTTAATGTTTAGAAAAATGCAATAAAATAAATATGCTCCTAATCAGCCTCTCTGTCAAAAGGAGGTAAATTGACAACATTTTGTGCGCTAATCCAATAGCTTCTAAAAAGATTGATTTGGAGATATGTTTTTTAGATCCGAGTAAGAACGGTAAAAATAGGGGTTAGGAGGACTAATCAAACGGCATCAGTGAACCCACAGGGCTTTATCACACAAAATGAGTGAGGCTTTAGGCCAAATGTCTGTAAACTCAGTGAAGTGTCACTGAGCCCTAACCAGACAATTCATCAGGCTGAACCATTGCTAAGTGAGACGACATGTCACTGAATATTGGACAGTCTATCGAACCATTTCAAGGTCAAGAATGATACACAGACTAATTGATTAAATTCCATGGACTGGAGTCTTCGGCAGTGGTTCCGTCTTCTACTCTTGTAACATTTTAATACTAATGTATAGTGTTTACTACTGAAATAACTTATGCTAGCCAGTCAATAAGAAAGTCAATTGCCTGGTTATCACAGTATCTTTCTATACAACCGCGCTGCCAAAGATGTTGAGCTATTTGATATCTTTGCCGAAACAGAATTTACGCTGATTCATGGGAGCCATTCTGCTCGGTGGCCTGTTATACCTCCCTCTTCGAACGTCACTCATGTCTTAATCCTCAAACCTCAAATAAATGGCGTCCATAATTTTTCTAGTGCTACAATTACTTACAAATCTAGTGATTTGCAGAAAAGTTCCGTAAGCTTTAAGTTTTTGCTAGTTTGGGTATTATATTTCCAAATTCCATACCATTGTTGTATAATTATTCTGTTTAATTATTTATGCTCCCCGTCTTTAAGACCAAGTACATTGCGACTTAGTCATCATAATGTGACTACTCGACCCACATGATCGCACATCGGTGTCATATCACTGTCTAACTTATCTCGCCCTATCAGGGAAGTTAGGAGTACTCCTTTGCAAGAAGCTCCATCAGTAAGTACAACCTTAGAAACAGAGCAGCATAGTTAGCACAAAGTCAAACGAAATAAATTTCGCGTGACCACTCATGTATGACTAAACCGCGTAATCTTGATGTTTCCGCACTGACCATAGTGAACTCTGACTATTCTTCGACGAGTATTCAAAGTCCAGTGTCTTTTTTCGAACACCGTAATGATCCAGTTTTCTGGTTTATTTATACCGATGGTTCAGTGATAGTTGATTGTCACTACAATCGCCAATTTAATAAACTTTGAATAACGTTCGGCAAACCCTAGTCGCCGATCGATAAAAATACAGGTAACTACAAAGTTGGTGAAATGAACGGTAATGAAGGCTCAAAGAGAATACATGATGACATCTAATAAGATTAGAATAACTTATTTTTTATATCCTCATCTATTTTTAGATCTCTTCACACAACAGTGATGGGTGGTAGCGATTGTTTACACGGCAACTGAGTAGCACAGTCATATTTGTACGATTAAATACAAAATGCGACAAGATAAATTGCTGAAAAACACAACAAGATCATTTGGCAAAAAGAAAACATGTCTCTGACAAACAAATGACGTAATGATCAAACAAGTTGACTGCTCAAAGGCAAACAGGTAGAGTCAAAACATTGTCATCTCTACAATAACAACATCTATTAGGGCACTGTCCCAATGAGTTGGCTTTTATCCCACACGGCAAGCCCATATTGGTTGACATAATGACACGGTATGGAAGGATGAAATGCAAACATCGTGATAGGAAGGAGTTCAGATTGCATCCTGGAGAGCTTGCTAGGATTAGCAGCGTCTGGTCGTCTTTCCTAACAATAAGGGAGCATGACGTACAATATAGTTAAAAAAGAAAAAAGTACAATCAAGATTTCTGCATATCGAAATAAACTCGTACGCGCGTAAAAACACAAAGCGGGCGAAAACATGGAAAATAAACTGATGCTCACGTAATAGCGTAAAGAAAAGGATATTTATACTATGGTTTTTTTTGTTTTTTTGAAATGAAAATAAAAATATATGAGCATATTCAATTCGGTTTTTTAAATTATACATAGTACAAGGGAAAATCGAGACGATATGAAGTGTCAACTAGTAACTTACACGCAATAATCGTTCAAATGTTCTGGAAATCTTTCTCTTCTTCCAGAACGAGTTGTTTTGAGTTCATTTTCTGATACCGCGGAAGTATCATCGTGTGCGTTGATTGTCGATTGAGGTATTATAAATGCAGGAGTCGTGTCGTGCGATTGTACTAAAGGAATGTTGACGTGAATAGGATCGATGTTGACGCTATCGTTTGTTCCGTTCTTATCGATTATATAGTAGTTGGGTTCGCGTTGAAGAACTTTGAAAGGTCCTTCGTATGCCGATCCTAAAGGTCGTCGATGCGAGTCTCGAAGTACGAAGACGTGTGTACTATATCGTAAGGCAGGTTGAACGAAAACATCAGTTGATTGTGGTCGAGTGGAAACAGGTTTAACTGAACGCATTGCGTTTGTAAGCCTGTTCACGTAGGAGGTTAGATCCATGTCCATAGAAGAGGATGAAGGATCCACGAATTCTCCTGGAAGTCGAAGGTTCGTACCATAAACGAGTGGAGACGCAGTGTATCCAATGTCAGCTTTCACCGCATTGCGAATACATTGTAAGACGAGTGGAAGAGCGTCAGCCCACTGAGAAATGTTTGCGGCTGATATTGACGCTTTTAGTTGTCGGTGAAAACGTTCTACCAAACCGTTCGTTTGTGGGTGGTAGGCCGTCGTTCGGAAACGAGTGATTCCTAATTTTGCGGTCAGACAACGGAAAAGTTCAGATTCAAACTGACGTCCACGATCTGTAGTGATTGTTGTTGTTGGGCAGCCGAAGTTTGCTACCCATCGTTCGACGAAAGCGCGGGCCACTTTCTCAGCAGTAATGTCTTTGATGGGTACTGTTTCTGGCCATCGAATAAAACGGTCTACACAGGTTAAAAGATAAGAATATCCATTTGAGTCTGTTAAAGGTCCTACCAAATCCAGATCAAGATGAGCTTAAATTGAAAGTAATAGGCATTTGATCGATGAAAAGGGTGAATTCGCGACCTTCGATATAGTGTTGAAAATGCCGGACAGCACAATACATAGCTGGGAGTTCCCTACCGAATGTGCTGTACCTCGATTCAGTGTCTAGCAACCGTCTAGAGAAAAATTCCAAAGGTTGCCAGGAGTCGTTAACCCATTGTTGTGAGACTCCTCTGATTGCTGAGTTGGATGCGTCTATTGCAATACTAATGGGTGCTTCAGTGTCCTGATGAGCAAGCATTGCTGCTTGAACAATACGTTCCTCGACTGTGGAGAACGCTTTTCGCGCGGTGTCATCCAGATTGATGGATTTTGCATTTCCACGTAGTTGTTCGGTAAGAGGTTTCATAAGGGACGCGCATTTTGGTATGAACCGTCTATAGAAAATTACCAGACCGTTAAACGTGCGCGATTGCTTGATGGTGGTCCGTTCTGGATAATCCAGAATGGCCGCCACTTTTGTTCTAAGAGGTCGGATACCTTGCGCATCAAGAGTGTGTCCTAGAAAGTCTGAGGAGTCTGTTCCGATTTGGCATTTCTGAATGTTTACAGTAATGCCATGTTTTTGTAGTCGGTCGAAAACAAGGTCCAGATGCTGGAGATGTGAGTCTCTGTCCGGACGTGCTATTAGGCAGTCATCAACATACGCATGTACGAAGTTGAGACCTCCAAAAACATGATCTATGAACCTTTGGAAAATCTGTGCCGCGTTTTTTAGACCGAAAGGCATTCGCAAAAATTCATAGAGTCCGAAAGGGCGTTATAATAGCGGTTTTGGAATACCGTCAGTGGCCATAGGAATTCGGTTATACGCTTTAACCAAGTCGATTTTCGAGAACGGGTCTATAGTGTGCTTAATAGTGACTGGAGGTAATCTGCAACCAGAAGAAGAAGTTAAGCGAACAGATAAACTAGTATTTCCATCCACTATCCTCTGTTTGCGCGTATCGATGATTAAGTTGTGGTGCTGTAGGAGGTCCATACCAATGATTGGTATAGAAACATCCGCAACAACAAAGATCCAGTGAATGGGTTTGCGTAAACCCACGTTAAGATAAACGTACCTTTTGCTATACGTAGCGATAGGCTTTCCGCTTGTCGCCTGTAAATTTAAAACCGATTCGTGAAGCCGGTCGTTGGAATTCGCTGGGAGAACGCCAACTTCTGCGCCAGTATCGACGAGGTAGCAAACCCTCGTTATCACATCAGTGACATATATAGTAGACGGCTAAGTTCGCCGGCTACGGTTTCCGTTAACGCATACCGGCCTGGAAGTTTCCCGAAACATTTTTCGTGTCGACCGATTTTGAGCTAGGAAAATTGCAGAGTTTTCTGCAATTTCTGGAGAACTTTCCATACTGGTTACGATAACAGCACCAGTCAGGGTTATCTGTCTCTCGTGGTCTAGGGACAGATCTGCTACGTGATGTGCTTCTTCGCGATGTGTGTGGCTGTTTACGGTCGTTACGAAGTTCAAGACAACGTGTATGTGTATGACATAACTCTGTTATGTCATTCTGGGTGGTTTGAGGCCTTTCTTTGTCTGAGAAAACTTCGGCGTTAGAAGATCCAGTGATCTCGAGGATGCGGTGGGCAGATGCAGCCAGCTCGTCTACGGCGTTGTTTTGGAACGAGGCCAGCACAGCTTGCACCTGTTGAGGAAGTTTTGATAAGAAAAGCTGTTTGAATAGGCCATCATCGAAAGTTCTTTGCAAATAACCTCTCTCATTTTTTGCAGGTTGATGTTGTTAAGGAGTTGGTTTAAACTTTGCCGATCGGTTAGATCTCCGCGTTTAAGGATGGCATGTTTGAGGGTTTTGGATAGGTCAGAAACATCACTAGTAAACATACTAGGTGTTACGTACCTATTGAATTCGCGCGGTAGTGCCTTAACTACTGCGAGGAATAGTGCACGTGTGTCATTCACACCGTGCTCGTAGAAGTCGGCTTCTACGTAGCCAAACCAGGCTTCGATGTTGTCTGGCCAGAAGGGCATTATTTGGAAAGAAGGTAAGGACACAGTCTTTAACTTAAATACTTTAGGTGTCTGTTCAGTCATAGTAATATATCAAGTACGAAAATGAACGAGCGGGAAATGTTTATATATATATATATCCAAAAACAAGAAAAAAATATCAAAATGTATAAAAAAGATTAAAATAATGCATTGATATATAAAATCCCAAAAAGCAACAGACTCACAGTTTCCAATTTGGTGTACCAGATCACGTCGGGCTGACCAATGAAGATGCCACAAGTATTCGGAGTTTGACAACGCTTTAACCAGTAACACCTAATATGAAGCGTACCCACCAAGTGAAATCAAAAGACAGAAGCAAGGAGATCGAAGATATATTTGATAAGCCATCAATATATTGAGGGTCGTCTGAACTAATCTGGCTAGCGATTGCAGTAGATGTTGAGCACGGCGTTCACACATGTGATCTGGTGCGGATGCATGACCGAGCGCCTTCAGCTAGATGAGTCCATTAAAACTAATGTGGTCAGCATCCAATGTCGAAAACTTACAGAGCTATTTATTTTGGGGATTTATTTACCGCTACAATATAAACGTGAGACTTTAAAGGTAACCATCTATAGGAGATCAGATTTGCTGGTTTTACGGCTGCATACGAAGTAACCTATATATATTAATTGAATTTCAGGTGCATCAACATATAGCTTCTTATCATTCTCTATGAACCAAAAAGACATTGCGAAGCTGCACGACATCGCGACACAAGGTTATTTTCATGATATCAGAGACAAACTGATAAAGCGTTATCGGATGATCCAAGATCAGGTATGTACTAATTTAAATTGATAACTTCCCTACTGCTCTTTAGTTACAGTCAATAGTCTTAACGAACATAACCGTAAGTTAAGCTTAAGGTATTTGGCTGTGTCTTGGCACATGCTTTAGCATGCTATTCAGATATCTTTGTGACTTCTTTTGTTCTTTACACTTCAGAATTCACAGGAAGACTGTTTTCATTCTCAATAGCCGAACATACGTGACTAAAGGAAGTAGTCCGTGCAATGTGTTTTATGTTATGGATCGCAGTTTTACTGTGGTTTGTTGCGGAAAATTAAGCGAATACAGGAAACCTCTGGGGTTATGCCTATGATGTTTAAAAAGTTGGATCAAAAACGCAATTCTGTGTGCATTTAGGCGAAAAGTAGGCAATTTGGCGTAGATTTAAGCGAAAAGTAGACAATTCAGCGACAAAGCGACAAAAAGAGGCAAATCCGCATTATTTCCCCCGGACAGGCAAAAAAGGCGACATTTCGGCGCTTTTCTCCTTTATTTACCAAAGCATTTCTCCTTTTTTCTCCTTTATTTCCCCTTTATTAGTTGATTGGGGAAGCTCTTCATAAAGTCTATTCCTCGGTTCGACCTTGATACTTTAACACATTCCCTTATGTGGTAGCTCTAAGCGGCTACTAAGCTGTATATTTTTGAAAATTACTTGACTCTACGGTTCTGGTAACGTAAAATGGATGAATTCCCATATTAATAACAGCATTAGACAAAAGGACCCAAGCTCCCAATTTTGGGGAAAATTTTACCTATTTTGGGGATATTTTGGGGAAGCCGCCATTATAATCTTTGGGGAAATTTTGGGGAAATGGCACAAAAACCCCAAATTTTCCCCAGACCTTGGGGATTTCTTCCCCTAAATTTCCACAAAATTATGGGTATTTCCCCGAAATTTCCCCAAACTTTCGGGTTTTTCCCTACACTTTGGGGTACTTCTACCTAACCGTTTTAACGCAAAACCTATACCGAAATCTCCAGACATCACGGAAAACCTTGCGAGAATACCTACGTACATTTCTTACTGTGATATTAAATTATTTTTAGCCAACTACGTCTTGCCAAATAAACTTAACGTCAATGCATTTATCGGTTTTATTAAAACACCAGTCATTGAAATATTTTAATATTTATTATAGTTAATAAAATATCACAGATTATTTAATAATACGACGTTTATCATTGTTCCATTTCTGTTACACGTTAGGCAGAAGTTGAACTATGGTTTGTTAGGTTCTAAAAAATTGAAAAAAGACTTTTTAGTTTACAATCACATATGAACAAATGTAAAACGCAGATGACGTAATTTAAAGTTAGACAATGCTTTCACTAATTCGAACAAATAACTTACAGTTACGTCAGATAAAGCCTGCGAAGCCAGCTGAAAACAAGAGGAATATGACAAAAGTGTTATCACTATAAACATTGATCACAAAGTAATAATCGAACTGCAATATACATTATTGCTTTGGCTAACCTTTACTTTGGATCGCCATCCGCGTTTATAAACTTTATCTCTTGCGTCATGCAAGAAAGCCTGGCTTGCTGTACCCATGGCGTGTATCAAATCCTTTTCCGTACAGGTCGCACTTCGAAAATGGGAACACAGAACACCTATCATTGTGTTAATGCAATAGTGTGTACTTACTTTGAACGGTTGAGTAAAATTTGTATTTACTAATACCCAATTTTTTTTAGTTCCGTGTAAAGTGTAGTTGTCTGCCAGTTCCGGCGAAAGCACGTAACTCAGACAAGCTTTCGCTGATTTCCGAGGATCGTCACACAGGAACCCGTTTAATCTTCCCACCTACAATTCGTTCAAATACCTGTAACAACTTACGAAGTAATCCCGGAACTGGATGTTATCTAACGCAGCTTCTAAAGGACGCAAGTCCTCATGCGTTCTTAATCGAAATGCTATAGCTGCCGTGTCTAACGGCTCCGTACGCCTGTCAGTGACACCCATGGGTAAGCGTTCGATGTAGGTTATCAGTTTATCCATCTTCCTAGATAGTTCACCTACCGCCTTCAGCAGCGTTCTAAACATTTTAGGGATGTCGTCGCCCAACCTTTGGTTTTAAGGTAACCAGTAAATGCAACTTACGATTTATCTACTGCGGTCGATGTACATGGAACGGGTGGTGATGAAAGCTCTGCTTTTGATGAACTAATTTATGAGTATAGATTAAATAGGTACGTACTTGGCTATTGGGGAAAACCTTCTTGCCAAAATGTTGACAACTGGAAGTTCAACAGGGGCAAATCCAGCTTCAACCTCAGCAACCTCTAGTTCTTCAGAAGTGCATAGATAGTCACACAGTTTACATTTGGCAGCCCTAACACTAAAGTGATTTAGTAAGCTGAACAAATTACCTCTTTGGCTTTTCTGCTTCACACGGGATAGTTTCATCATCTTTGTTCATGTAACCGAGCACAGAGGTTAAGCACTTCTTCATGCCCTGGGCTACATGGTAGTCATCTAAAAACAGTTAATTAAAAGTAATTACAACTTATCAAAACTATGCAATACGGTTCCTTTTCTCAACGTGAATTTACTATCAACATCCACACCATCAATGATGTCATTCTCTGTAACATCATCCCGAAAAACGTAATGCTCGTTGTTCAAGAGCCATTTATTAGGAATGCAAATCACTTGCTTATTCTCCTTATCATTAATTAATATGTACTTTGCGTATTGATGCTGTAATTGAAAGCTCAAGCGTAAAAAATGTATTACTTTCATGAACATTCCTTAACACATCGTTATGGAGGAAACCGAAGCACTAACCAACAGACACCTACTACCAGAAGTGCTATTTTTGCGACAGTTATTGAGAAATGATGTCACATTTATTATTTAAATGTATGCAACAGGGGGATAATGACCTCATAATTCTGCGTTCGCAAACAAATGCACTTACAAAGTATGTCTGTTATAGTAATCCAATGACACTCGTGGCTTAACGTAGAACACTTAAACATACCGACAGAGCTAGAGGGGAAAGGATCGGAAAATAAATCTACAGGGTCCTGGAATGCTCTAAACCTTAGCCGACCTCCATCGGCTATAGTCTCGAGACTATATTATCATCAACATTTGTGAAAGATATGACAAAATAGCTTATATATAAATGGTGCGTTTTGATATCTGCAGGCATACTATGAAAATTCCAGTAGTCATAAGGTTACTGCGAAAGTTACGTATTGCTTTAAAACGTGCAAATTACAGGTCACACTATATATGACCTTGTCCCAGTCTTATTTTGGATTGTGAATCCACTTTTGACGACGCGCTAGTTTCTTTGATTTCGGTATTTAAGACATGTAGGTGCATACCTTATTGCTATGTTTTGCGCAATAACATATTTTTGTACTTGCCCTTTTCGATTGCTAAATTTTAGGAATTATATACTGTCTACATAGTGAACTGAATCGCTACTAACAGCTAGGCATGTAAATCTAGACTTATAGAAGTTCTCCATCTATATTGACAGTTCTGTATTGTTTTATCGACCTATACTCTTTTTTTTCGAAAGTTCTTTACGTGTGTTTTCCGCAGTTTTTGATATTGGAAAGCAATTGTGTATGGTAATGTCACCTCGCCCTACTGACAATCTGGTGTAGGTCACTAATTCTTGAGAAGTTTGGTGTCCTTTACTCTCGATGTTCTTAGGTTCTGTACGCTAGATGATTTCGTTGGAGGAGCGTTTATTGTCATTCTGGACAACATTATCAACACCCACCGAATGTAGGAGTCAGCGTCTTATTTATTATACGATTTTTTCCTGGTAACTTCGATCATGACTGGTTATTTTTATGTGTTTTATCATCCTTAGTCATCTTTGTGTTCAAGTTGACTGTTTGTTCCACTGTATTGTGACTGGGTTGTTGCTTAACCTTTCTTAAACGGGTTAGTAGATGGAGTACAATCTGTGCTCATTGATTACTGATTAATTTAAATCCTATGCTCCCAGAACTCTCACAATCCGAAAATTTGACGTTTTCCTAGTTAAATTCATGTTTTTATTTGTCTATTTGCATGGACATTGGTGATAGCGCATCCTGTCGTTTCATTGGTAGTTTGCGTTCGTGTTTGCTTAGGTGGAAAGGGGATCTATTTTGTCCAATGTGACACTCATCACAACGGGAAGCATTTGTCTTATATGTGATTTTGATTCCGTTTTTTTGCTGTTATATCTTTTGGTCTGCATGAAGTAAGTGTTTACTTCTAAAGAGATACTACTCGTATTTCAGAATATTTCTACACTTATGCAACTGATTTTTGCAAATTTGATCGCGTTGCTCATTTAAATCGCTAGAATCTTGAGTAGCCCGTTTATTTCTGCTTCATTTAATCTTCAGTATAATTGTTATATCGTTACCTTTATGTTATTTCTCTTATTACGACCCAACTATTTCTAGTGCTTAGTATTGTTAGGCATCAATTCACTCGACAAGTCCCCAAGTCGGAACAGAGTTGAACAATAACAAAATTATATTACAAATAACACGGGTTGATGCAAGAAGGAAGCCCAATAAGAAAAACATTGGTATATTTATAGTTTTTATAAGAGAAGACCTTGGAATCTTCTCCAAGTGTCCGTCAACACTTTCACTGTTCCAATTGCGTTCATATTTATCCATTGCTAGTTTTGTAAATTTGGATGGACACATTGTTGTTCCCGCTTATTTATATTGCATACAGATCGTAATATCGCATGAGGCTTCAGTAGGTGGCTAATAACTAGCCTGTCGGTTTTCATTGTTTCTATTCATGTTGATATGTATTAACCATGCTAAACATTTGGCGTTTAGTTTGTATTTTATCTACGAGAGTGTGTCGTTAAAACTATTCCACGATTTCCGGTTTATATCTAATGTTTAAGTGCAGTTCTTGCAACACTATTGTGTATTCCCTTCTTTCTGTACTGTTTTTAATCCTATTATAATTTCAGAGGGATGCCAGAGGAAATCAAACATCTTTGGAGCACTTACTGATGGGTAAGGTGCTTATACAATCATTTCTTGTTTGATTACAGCCTTGTTCACCTTACCTTGAATATATAGTCTGAAACATTATTTATTTAGTTGCTTGCATATTGTATTCCAAGCAGAAGCCAACTAATTGTTTATACATCCTTACGTTCTTGTGTATCGTACTCAACAGGTCGAGTAGCCCCCAAATGCCCTGGTACGGCCGAGAGTGGGGTGGGCCCGCCCTCCCTCTCGAAATGCTCTCACATGGCTACGCGTATACAGTCTCTGCCTACTCACTGCCTTCACGTGGCGGGGTGTTGTTTACGAAAATAAGGAAACGAAAAGCGAATGTCCGGCGCTATAACTGGATCCCAAACCAATGGTGCACATGGGCTCCAGTATCCTGAAGGAACAAATGGCGTATGAACCAATCGTTGGTCACCGGCTACCATGGCATTGCATCTCCTCACGGTGCTCCACTGCCTTGTGGGTTAGACCTTTAGGTCGAAGGCTCGGGGTGTAGCCCCCTAAGAAAACCACCTCTTTATTTATTTATTTATTTTAACACATAGATATTGGTACAAGGAGGCACCAAATATATATTCTCCACACAGATCTAATTTGTTATGTGTGAGGGCTGTGATACTGCCCGGGTGCCCAAACCGAAGCAGGTGTTTTTCTTAGGTGGCCACACTATGAGCCTTCGACCTGAACGTCTGACCCACAAGGCAGTGGAGAATCGTAAGGAGATGCAATGCCATGGTAGCCGGTGACCAACGATTGGTTCATACGCCATTTGTTCCTTCAGGATACTGGAGCCCATGTGCACCATTGGTTTTGGATCCGGTTAAAGCGCCGGACATTCGCTTTTCGTCTTCTCATTTTCGTAAACAGCACCCCGCCACGTGGAGGCAGTGAGTAGGACTTCCCTGGCAGGGGCTGTATACGCGTGGCCATGTGAGAGCATTTCGAGAGGGCACCCGGGAAGTATCACAGCCCACACACAAATAAAATGAAAATTTGTGTGGCGCATATATATTTGGTCCCCTCTTGTACCGATATTTATGTGTTCGAATAATAAATAATAATAACAACAGGTTGAGTGTTTTCAAACCACTTAACTTGATCTGCCAGACAAGGAACCTTACACTCACACTCTTTGCGGAAGATGATCACTGGATATTAGTCGTTAGTACTGATGCCCGACTTATCTTTCAGACCGTCAATCTCATCAATCTACTAAGTTCCTCGCTCATCAAATTTAGTAAACGGTTTTTACTAAAGCTTCCTGCTTTTACTACTTTAAATGTTGCTTACATTTTTGTTAGCTGGCTGAAGAACTGTTAGAATTTCTCTGACAATATCTACAATTAGTCCATACTATTTCATTGTATAAGTGTGCTAATGATAATAGGCATATTAATGCCAAGCTAATAGTGATTTATAGCATTCTAGAAGTATCACAGTGGTACTGAGGCGACATAAGATCTTGATTAGATTTTTTTGTACAGCTCAGAAACAGAAAGTCATCTTTAATTTACATAGTAGTATTAAAAGTGCATTCAATATATCTATCACTCACGTAATAACATACCCTTCATATTTTGTAAATATTAAGTTTCGATATATTGGAGGCTCTATAAATATGTTATACAAGTATTACATATAGGCGTATGAGTTACGTCAACGATCCAATCAGAGCTGCTGCCGTGGCTCATTGGTTGAATCTGTTTATAAAGTCAACCCTGTCGGGCTATAGTGGTCAGAAAACTTGGTCCGCAAAATCCTACCCTGCTAGCCAAGTTTAGTAAAGAGCGATAAGGTCAAGAACAACAAATATAAAATTTTACTGAGTCATACTGCTAACTTTACTAAAGTGTAGTGGCAATAAAGTATCTTTTTGTGAATGACCAACATCTTCAGCGATGCCAGCTTCACAGCAACAAGAGGGTGCCTTTAAACAGGTTAACCCTACAAACAGTATGCCTTTCGCCCTGCAGATATCTGAAACTGATGGGAAACTGTTCAAAAGGTATGGGTATGTATCCATTGTCGGGAAATCTCTCTGTGGGTTATATGGTGTTACTCTCATGTGGTTAAGACCTTTAACATTAATCCGCTTTTTCAGACCCTATAAGAGCTAGTACCTCTTCACAATTTAGGGGATGGGGTGGGAAGTGTCAGACGTTCATATAGGTTGGTTTTGTTTATGGCGAAACCTCTTCCTTTCTCTCTAATATCTATTTTAGTTTCATCTTATATTTTAAGCTTGATCAGTGATGATAGTATAATCTTACGAAGTGATGTCCGTAGTTTCCTGAAACTGTACTTTGAATATTCAGATTCTGCGTCAGATAAAACGGCACCTTCATGAACTGAAACTCTAGAATATTGTGCCATTAAGATGTTTTGTATCCTGAACCTACATATGAACTACATGCGTTTGTTTACTTGATCTCATTTGCTTAACCGACATTATCTTGTGCACTTTTTGATTCAGTTGGATAAGAAAAAGTTGGGAGAATAGAAGTTGACACTGCTATCTCTTTGTAATTTCTGTCTACTGTTTGAGCGATTGCAATTTCCAGAAGACTGGGGACTCAAACCTAGTAACTAATTCTCAAGTAGGCAAAATAAAGTCAACTGAAAAGCACTTACGTGTGTCTTTTGGCGTTCAAACTGAGCAAGCAGATAATGGTGAAGCTATGCCCGAACAAGTGTTTATTTTTAACGGGCACCAAATATAATTATGAAGAGTTGATTGAGGGATGAATACATAAGCCATGCCACCATTAGTTGTCTGATAAATTGCATAAAAAATGCCTCTCATGAAGCACATGGATGGGTTTCGATCTTGTTCTAAAGTAGCCCAGCTTCCAACCCTAAAGTGGTAGGCCGAAGTCCCCACTACCTACTTCATCTTGGTCAACTGGCTAGTAGCACTAGCTCATACAAATGGCGTGACTCCAAGTTGAATGCATAAATATGATTGGTGAGTTATACTAAGAACCAAAATATGATATAAACTGTATGAAATAAAAACGTGTATTTATAAAAGATGCTTATGACTAGGATCTATAAATAACAAGAGCTTTCTTACTTTTCCTTTGTCGTATTGTCTAAAATCGTACTGTTTCCATCAAAAGTAAGACAATTTGTTAAGGGGTTTAACTGTAATCCTTTAATCTAAAGGTTTGCTCCACAAATAACATCAGTAATCTCATTTCAGTGGAAGTTAGTTATAAAAATAGGTTTATGCGATATCTGTTTGCTTAAGGCCCAAAAGCCAATGTAAGTTTAAAATAAGGGATTTCTTAATACCTCGATGTAATGCATATCAGTAGTTCGACCTGAAGCGTCAGGTATTTGTGTCCGCATTAAGCGAATAAAATAAATTTGACTTCCCTGAAAAAAACTCTATGGAGTCATTTCGTGTAGAAAAAAATGGTGCCCACTTTCAATCTTGCTAAGGCCTCTGGTGGACTTAATATTTCACTGTTCGAAGAAACGGACCAGCATGGTGTTCTGGATATTGTACAATCACGTTCATAATTATCTTAAAATATAGTGTTACCTCTCCCATTCTGTGTTTATCGGCTCATTTTATAATAAATATCTTGTTGCACTGCTGTATCCGGCTCAGTATCGTTGTTTAGTCTCAATCCTTTCCTTAACTTCAAGTATTAATTAATCTTCAAAAGTATGTTATTTTCAATATTTAATGACCAGTCCATTTCTACAGATAATACAAACTGCTCCGACGTTCAATTATGTCAAGAGGTTGTTAATCAGTTGCAAATTTGTTTAACAGAAGAACTCAAATCCCTAAATTCGTACTCAGAAACACCTCCCACTCATCCTCACTATTCTCCTCAGTTAAACGCAGTCAGTCATTCAGCTCATACTGTTTCAAACCAAATATCTGTGATTGATTCAAAAGACCAAACGTCTAATAGTACCATTGTTCAAGACGATAATTTTGTAGCGGATATTGAACTAATTAGTCTTACCAGTCAACGACAGTCAATCCCACGCTATCGTCTTCGAGTAGATCCATGCACTGCCTTCTTAGGTTATAGAAACAAGGATTTTAGATCTGCCAGACGAATTACTCGTGACTTTTCTAGCAAATATCCCTTGCCCAAATCATCATCCGAATTAACTACAATAGGATACATTAGTTCCTATACAACCAATACTCTCAATAGAACAACTGAACTGAACTCAGAGGAGGACCGTTCTGAAGGGGAAGACGAAAACGACGACACTCTCAGTTTAACAACAGAACAGATTGAAAATACTCTCGATTATTTTAGTAAGCAGATTTTTTCTATTTATTTGTTTGCCAAGGTTGTCAACGATTAAATGCAATTATTTAGCTTTTCAGAAACCTACTTTCCAGGATATTCTCTGATGAGAATAAATTACCCAAACAATATTCTTTAGCCTTAGTGTTAATCGAAATCCTGTCTTTTTAGCGTCTGGAAGTATGGCGTGAGGTGTGTACTTTTTAATGTAGTTGTTTAATTTAAATCTATGCCTAGTTGGTAGAAATGTAATCAGTTTATTTAAATGACTTAAAAATCAAAAATATAATTCATTAGGAATACCATATAAATCGTCTGTAAAATGATTCTGACTGAAGTAGGATTGAGTCAATAGAAGGGAAAAAACTCCAGTTTATACAATCAATTACCGTCATCTTGAGTTTAGCACAGGTGGGCATACCTAATGGCTGAGGTCTTTTACATGGTTGATTTACTGGAAGAAATGATTCACAGCCGATCACAATATTTTATTATCAGTTATAGCCCTTTCCCGACCAACATTCTTTTTTCTGAGTTTCATTTCCTGCTTCACAGAACTTACATACTTTCGTACAAGGTTTCATGTTAATGAATTATTTCGACATTACTTGGTTTCATAAAGTGATGTAAGTGAGGTAGAGTGCGAACCTAAAATAGCTGTTGAAAGGTCAATTACTTATACTAGTTAATTTCAGCCCTTGGTGGTTTTTTTATTTCTTGTCTTGACTGAGTAATTTCTTTAAAGGTTTTTAATTGTAATATGATATCGGGTATCAGGTAATCTTATTAACTTTTATTGATTGTCGATAAGCAATGAAATCAGAAGTTTTAAACTCAAATATAAGCTTAGTCACATTTAAATCTCCTCGTTGGATCCTTGTTTAACGTTTCTCCACCCTAACACATTTGCTCCATAGAGTACCTTCTATTTTGGTATGTGTTAATGTTATCATCTTCATTGGTTCTATTAGTCACAACTTTTTCACCCATAACTAACTGGTCACGATGCCACACATACGTTCATTTCTCATCCACTTCTAAATCTTTACCATGATATTTCAAACAGTTCATCACATCAGTCATTTATTCGTTTTGAACTATATCTCTCATGTTTAGTTTTCTAGTGCTATTGGCACCATTAGTTCAACTTCTTTGTTTTTATTTTGTTATTGTTTTGGTGTTTTGATGCAAACTACATACTTGTCCTACGTCATAGATTGTTTATATCGTCTACACAAATCACCTCATTTATTCCTACTTGTTCAATATTTATAAAAATTCTGCTTTTAATTATTGATCTATGCTATGCTTTTCTTCACTTTGTTTTGTCGTCCAATAAAATTGAATTTTAAGGTTAATTAAACGTTTAAACATAAAATCATATGTATCTACATAATAGAGAAATTGTGGTTTGGGTTATTAACTTCATTTCATTATTTTTTATCAATACATTCACAGTAATCATACCTTAACCACACAACGAATAATTACATTAGTATCAATACCGTTGTCATTGTATTCATCAAAAGCTTATTATTTGAATGATTTTGTCATTATTCTTGTAGTTTTTGCTTATTATTACATTTGGTGTTGAACAGAAGTTAAATTTTTTTTGTTTGTAAGTTGTCTGCTAGAAGTAGCCATATCGTGCTCATTTTTTTCCTATTAAGGTCCAAATTAACACCTTCTCCATTTCTATTTATTTTCATTGTTGTTTGATACAATGGATCTAACTGATACAGTTAGATTCCCCTTTATCCATTTTGAAATAACGTTCATATGAAATAAAAATTAGGTGTACATGAAGCTTTTGCGCTGGATTATTAAGGTAGGAGTCCGTTTAAACTAATTCATTGTCATCCTCTTCGACGAAAAACTCTTCTTGACTGTGCTTGACAAATTTCGCTTCATTTTAATCTGGAAATTTCTGAATATTAATCGAAGAGTAGGAAATTTATTCAATGATAATGTACTACTTTGCATCTATATAAGTAGTTACAAATGGTTTTGTTTGAAATCCAGCCTACCAAAGCATCGATTATTGGGATTAATGGCTTCGTAATAAGAGATAGTTATTTCTTGAATTAAATAGGACACCTAAATTAAATGGAATACCGGATCTCATACTTACTGTTTGCGGCTACTGAATATTTAAATTTTTATGGGATTCCTGTTTTTTTAGTCTTGATTTATACAGTAAAACGATTGTCTACACTGACGAAAGGACTGCAGTTAGGGTACGAAACATGCTTTTTTCTTGATACAGATTTGGGTTAACTAAAAGGAGTAGTCGACTGTAACATCACTTCCTAAAAATCTGATTCGATGATTTTTTTTATACAGTTATACTTGGCTCTACCGTCCCTAATGCTTACTGTGCATTCTATCCCATAAATTCACTTTATTTCTACATGTGCAAAGTCATTTTTACCTTCATCTAGGACAGTTTCATAGTAAGAAAATAGCTCTATCATAATATTTTTACTATGATAAAAAACAGTGAACAGCTAAACTTGAAAGAGATAAAACAGAACAACTTATAGTTGCATTGCACTCTGAAGCTGTACAATTGTATTTATCTGTAATTTTTTTTTACATGTAAAGGTCTATTTTCTTCGCTGAATTCTATTTTTTAAATCAAGTTTGACTGTCTTTGATAGTATTAGTATTTTATAAGTAATTCATCACAGTAAGTGAGGCTAATTTAACAAACGTCAAATAGAGCATAGACGTCAAGATTTTTGAGAAATTATTTGCATAGAAACTTCTGGATATGAATGATGTAACGTTTGATAACTTTTTGTTAAACACAGATTTTGTGTTGAGTTCAAAAACTGTCCAGTATAATCAAATTAACTGTTCAGACTCATTTTAAACTGTCAATTACTAATGGGAGAAGCTTAGAATAGTGATTTTTAGTATCTGAGATGTAAAATAATCAACATCTTCATTCTCTATAGATGTTTTTACAACCAATAATTATTTACATCATACCAGTAGACTGAAATGGTTTCACTTATTCTATATTGTATCCTTCCCAGAATTCAATACTATTAATCATCTCATGCTTGTATATGTGATGAGGAAGTTTTATTCTTTACATAAAGTAACCACATTTTAGTTAATTTATGAGTTTTACTAATACATTACTTACATATTATACGCTATCAGCACTGTATTTTCTTTTAAGGAAAAATATCGTCACTCTACATTATCATAGTTAGATGTAACATAGATCGATTGAACTAATATAATCATTTATTGTTGGTGTTTCTTAATACTGAATAGTGTTTTTTTTCATTGTCAATAATCTTCCCACTGGAACCATGGTAAAATATAACAATTTCGATCTCATTTACATAATGACTTCAAATCAATAAAATTTAGATATTTTTAAGAGCCTTTATGATTATATTTATTCTCTTTTTGTTTAAAAAAAAATAAACATTGAAATTTTTTGTTTTATGAATGCTGTTTTTCCGTTGGTTATTGGCAATTTCAATTTTCGAAAATTTTGCAATCAAATTGTACCAAACAGTTATTTCATTTCGTTTTGTCTTGATTCATTTAAAATATTCAGTATTAAATTGAAATTTATATCAAGAAATATGATTAATAATGTCATATTTTGACAATCGTCATTTAGGTTGAAAATTTGGAATTTATTCTAATTTTAACTAAATAGTTACAATATCCCTGGGAGTTAGCTGACCACTATCTCTTTTCAAGCTTATTCAATTAAACTATTTTTTAAGAAGTAAATGACAATTCTTAATTTTATCAGAAGGGGCTATGTGGAGGGCCGTTTCGTCCTAGTGTGGGACTCCTCAGCAGTGCGCATCCCCCAGGAGTCCCATACTAGGACGAAACGACCGTTCAGTGCTTCAAGGTTTTCCATGGTGGTCTAGCTTCAGTTGACTCATGATTTCAACCAGTGAAAATTCTTAGCTTCCCACTCGTATTTTTTAATTAGCCAATCAGATATAAGAGAAATACCCTGGTACGGTCGAGAGTGGGGAGAGTCACCTCTCTCTCTCAAAATGCTCTCATATGGCCAAGTGCATACAACCACTGCCAGGGAAGTCCTACTCACTGCCTTCTCGTGGCGGGGGTGTGGTTTACGAAATTAAGAGGACGAAAAGCGAGTGTCTAGTACTTTGACTAGATTGGTGGATTTTGAATGATCCACTTAGGGCAGTTGGAAAACCCTCATTCCAAACAAATGGCTCACATAGCTCTAGGATCGTAAGGGAACAAACGGCGTATGAACCTATTGTTGGTCACCAGGTACCATGGGACTGCATCTCCTTACGTTTCTCCACTGCCTTTTGGACTAGACCTTTAGGTCAATAGCTCGAGGTGTGGTTCCCTAAAAAACCACCTGCTTCGGTTTGGGCACACGAGCAATATCCCAGCTCTCACACATTTCGAATGATTTGTCTGGTGTATATCTATTTGATGTCTCCTTTTTACTAATGTTTATGTATTTAAATAAATAAATATAGGAGAAAAAAGTGTTCGGTTATTGCCCAGTGTTTTTTCTCAGTCAATCGTAGGATTATTTTTTTGTTAGGCTAATCTCAAAATTTTGTGCCCATTGAGTAATTTGTTGTATTGATTTTGATCTTTCTCTGTGTAAATACAAACAACTAGCCATGCCCTACAAAGTGAATTGAATGGGGAATTAAAAATCAAATGAGGCAGATAATGTTCAACATAGATGTTTCGTTCTCTATCTCACTTTGTTTTTGTCACAAATTTACAATTTGAAATAGTTTTATCGTTTTAATGTTATGTGCTTAAAATGAATCATTTCTTCCGCTCATAAATAACTGATATATGGAGAATAAAGGTATAAAACTAGATCCTAGATCTTTTAATCCCTCAATCTCCAATATCCTTTTGTCACGTTCAAGTTTTGGAATGATGACACTAGGTCCACTTATGTTTCAACTACAGTTTGTCGTGTTTATTTTACTCTGACTTAACATAGCAAGTTACTAACGAG